AAAATAAAAAAAATTTTACTGGATTCGTGTTCAGCATGCATTGCTCTTCAGAATCACTTATCTCGAAATTCGGAGATAAAATAATATTTAAAGTATTTAAAATTTTTGACCCGCAAAAAATTTTACTTTTGACCTCCAAAAACACGTTTGCTAATGAAAATCACAACATGGGATATAATCTCACTAAACTCCGTTGGTCACATGGACACCATAAGTAGTGTTTACAATATTAATGGCGAGTTCACACAACCTACAGATTTCGAGATAATTGTAGTGACGACTCCGCCCCGGTCTCCTCTATAGCTTATAGCCCACCACTAATGCTACACCTCTCATGTCTCCTTACAGTGCCAGACTAGAGTCAAGCTCAACAGGATCTTCTTTCCCCGCTAATTTTTCCAAGCCCGTTCCCTTGGCAGTGGTTTCGCTAGATAGTAAATAGGGACAGTGGGAATCTCGTTAATCCATTCATGCGCGTCACTAATTAGATGACGAGGCATTTGGCTACCTTAAGAGCGCCCGTGTCGACGACAGCTTGACAGCCTTCCGAGCAAGAGGTGTAATTTTTTACTTGAATCTTATCTATTTTAAATTTCCAGTATTCTATGTGGGTAACATTAACATACGTAAAGTCGCCGTCATAATAAGCGGGATCAGAACCACCCAATATCAGTTCACCGCCGATCACGTCCGAGAGATTTCGATTTAGATAGAAACTAAAAATTTTTTGGGACATCATTTGTTCATCAATCAAGCTTTGAAAGACGCTAGGCGTATTAAAATGGGATAAGTCTTTATAACCCATCCCCAGAACGCCGTCGCATTCTGCATAGTCCCAAAAGTTTGTCGCGAAATTGGTTACCTCTCCGAATGTGTGGAATGAAACATTAAGGCCAGCAATGATTACGTCATCATTAACTAAAAACCCATACACACCGCCATCGTCTTTATAAAATAATTCGTTGGTATAATTCAGTGGTATATATGTGGTGGACTGTGCACTATCATATTTATTATGTTTCAAGCAAGCAGGTTGGCTGACGTTGCAGTTTTTGGATGGTACCCAGAGATCTGAGCAACCAGTGTCGAAAAGTATTTTAAATGTCTGCGGTGGAGTTCCAATTTCGATAGTACCGCAGTATTGAATATTCAGATAATTAATCAGAGATACGTTTGCCGTACCTGAACGTCCCGAACGGAGTGGTATCACAGTTTCCGTCGAAAATTTTTCAACAGAGTATGTCTTGTGTAACGGAATTCTATGCAACTCCGCGTTGATTGACGCGAAGTTGATTACCGTGATTACCGTCACAAAGAGCCGATACATTTTCCTGAATTTTTCGACGACTGAAGCTACAAAAGTCAAAATTGTTTTAGGACTGTTAGAACTGCGAATCAATCCACAACCGGTACGTACAGACAAAGAACAATCCGAGGAAAATCTTAACTGCGTCTACCTGCAATAACGTGTTACAACTTGTAACTGTTTCTGCCCGCATCCTATCCGAGGAACATCTGAACTGCGTCTACCTGCAATTACGTGTTACAACTCTAACTGTGGGAGCTTTCCATCTAGGAGACACAGAGCGGCACTGTGTGACACGGTCGAACACTGTGTCTAGATGCTTGATGGAATGCGTTGTAGTTCTAAACTACATCACTAGAGTCTGCTTTATGTCATCCCACGATAGCTAGTGAGAAATCGCGCGGTTTGTTTATTGAAGAAATTGAGGTTATTTAATTAAAAGATTTCTAATGTGTTCAAAGTACGTATGTATTAAAATTAAATCAAACATATGCTACGTTTACGCGAGCGTTACTTCTGTAGTAACTTACGATAATTCACTCGTTTACGCGGAATAAATTATCGTAAGTTACTACAGAAGTAACGCTCGCGTAAACGTGGTAATAATTATTTGTTACTGTTTTTATTGGCAATGAGTTATAAATATATGATATTTTGCAGATGGATATAAATAGAATTGTGTGTGAATTGATAGAAACTCCAAACTTAAGTAGCAGTTCTGATTCAACCGATTCAAGTGAAATGCAAGAATTAGACAGTAGTTCGAGTGGCAGCATCACTTCGTCCAGTAGCGACGAGGAGCATGCAGACTTATTGTTTTTTCCTTTACTGCATTACTTAACAACTGGCCGAAGGAGACATCGAATTACGAATTATCTTTCGATTATTGATTCCTGGACAGATGAAGAGTTTAAGGAGCATTTACGGTTAAATCGACACACTGCAAAAAAACTGATTGGTATGAAACATGTTCATATGTTTGATTTGTACATAATGGTAAACGCAACTCACATTTATTGTAACCATAATGCGTGCTGTATCAAATGTAAAACGAATTTTTTGTTACAGATGAGCTACAGTTATCAAATTTTATTCCATCGCATTTATTTGGAAAGATACCAATCTCACTCAGCAAAATTGAGCTTTTTGCTTTTTCTATGGTATATTGCCAACACAGAACCTTTGCGAACAAGACTGATAAATTTGGAATTTCTATCTCCTCTGTATTTCGGGTTCTCCGACGGGTCATAGCCTGGTTGATGACAAAATTAGATAAAGTGATTAGATGGCCATAAGGGCATGACATAGTTACGACCATTGAAAGCTTTTGTACTAAGCAAGGAATTTCAAACGTCTTGGGAGCAATTGATGGGATTCACATCCGCATAGAAAAATCTGCAGTGTTTGCACAAGACTATTGTGTAGGCAATTGTTAATAAATCAAACAGCACATACAGATAAATCACTTGTTCCGTTTATTATATTCGCTCGATTTACATAGTTTTACCGCTTGCTCCGTTTCACAAATATCTCGTGCGCTCCACTTATAGCTACGTCTCTACACAATCCGACTCAGCAGTCCCTCGCGAGTACTAGGATATTAATTAATACCGGCAGCCCGATCCCTCGGATCGCGGCAGACCGTTCAGAGTATCTTCTCACACTGTCGCGTTACTCTAAATCGGATCCTGTCGCGTCAATCTCCTTCGACAGGTGGAGCCATATATCACGAATCGGCGCCTACGATACCTCTACTTATAATACATCAATTCGGCGCCTACAGCTTCGGCCATTCTGACCTTT